TTTATAGAACACATGTGTGAAATCACCATTACCAAGGCAGAAGTCTCCACTCTGGGGGAGACCGTGTCTGGGAGGCTCAAGTGTCCCAAAGGGACACAAGCCACCAGGGACAGCGGAGACCCACTGAGGAGCAAGTGGCAGGTGTGGGAGCAGGCCTGGGGCAGCCCCGGGGGAGGGGAGCTTATCTCAGTCGTAACTTTAGAATTGCTCCCTGCATGGAAATAAGATGATAGGCCAACTTAGTTTCATTCCAGGAGCCCTCTTACTGCCTGTGCAGGGAGCTGAGCCCCTACTGGCACCACTCGTGACAATAACATTATGTGCAACATGATTACCACCACCTCCAGGAAGTCTTCCTGGCCACTGGCCTCCCCCAACCCCTCTGCTCATGCATTTGTTCCAAAGTGTCTTTTTCTGTTTCTCTTGCTCCCTGTTAGACGATGAGACCCTTAAGGTCATGGACTCTATATCGCCTTTCCCAATATTTCCAAATGCCTTGCGGAGTGACTCAAACACACCAGCCCTCAACTGAGCAAGTAATTTAAGGGAAAACACTAAGCATTCATTATGGATCAGGCCCTGCCCTAAGACTGGGGTTACAGTGAACAAAACATGAAAATGCCAGCCTGTGTTGAGCTTACATGCAAGTGAAGTTTGAATGGGAAAATGGATGAACATTAAAAAGCAAAAACATTTTTTTCTTCAGAGCTTGGAAATTTACTCAGTGAGAACAGAAAAGAACATGGTCTGCTTTTACAGAATTCTTTCAAATTCCAAGCCTGGCTGCAAATGAAACTAGAGGCCTGGAATTATCAGTTGACCCTGTCACTAACTACTTTCCCTTTATCAATGATCGATCTCAAAGGCATGAGACCATCACACCACTGCTGAGCCCACAGACTCCATCTTATCCCTCGGAAGCAGCTGCAGTTACCTTCAGCGACTTCAGAACACCACGCTGGGAGGAGGTTTTAAGGAGACCACCCTCCACCCTTGTCTAATCCCAATACATACAGACTCTGGTTCTCAAAACCCTCTGTTTCACATGTTGTCTCATGAACTCTGATGTAGCACATGAACTGGACGGTTCAGAACCTGCTCTTCTCTCTACAGATGTATAAGTGGGGCAAAGTCAAACCAGAGCTACTGACTCCCACATTAATAATCATACTCTAAAAGCACTATACCATCTCCAAGGAGAGATACAGGCTGAAGATGGAACTGGGAATGTACACAACTCCCAAATCCAACGTGATTCAAATTCTGCCTTCCTTCCTTGCACTTTTGCACATAAGCACATGCACGCGCGCGCGCGCACACACACACACACACACACACACACACACACAGCCTCCCACAGCAGCTCCACCAGTTACCAGTGATGGGCAACCCTCTCCCTACAGCTGTCAGACATCAAGCCTTCCAGGCAGCTCACTCCTAAAGCAGCACAATTCCCTCAGTCAGTTCTGGCTCATGAAGATGCTCTTCCCACCGTATTAAGTATGTGATCAAAGACAGCCCCATCTGAGAGTTCCCGAAGGCTCAGGCCCGGCCTGCAGTGTGCCTCCCGACAAGCAGCCGAGGGCTCACCAGGGGCCACCGAGCCAACGAAGGAGGACGCCACCACACAGGCAACCGGGAAAACGGGTTCACAAGCTTGGGCTCCATTTCTCTGCCTTTTCTTCCCAGCCTGCTGCCAATCAGATCGCAAGCCACTTAAAGGCGCAGATGCTGTCTTCCTGTATGAAGCACGCACAGAGCCCCAGATGGTGCCATGCTCATGTGGCATGTGTGCTGCATCAATATTTGCTCATCGATTTGTTGCTCAAATACCACGACTGAGTTGTGTTTGTCTGGCAGATCATGTGATTTTAATAATTAGTGTCTGAGGTGGGAAAATGTCTTTTTCTTAGAAAAACTAAGGGTGAATGAAGTATTAAGAGTGATACTGGTATCCTAGGAAGTAAGTGAGATGGAAACACATTTCCCTAGCAAAGAAAATGAAAAATTCACATAGAGAAAATCTGAGAGTAACACCACCCTTACCAGTACTGTCAACACCTTGGCGGCCTGAGGATTCCCTCTGTTTACTTGCAGAAGCATCAACCTTTTGCTGCAGGAAATGCAGATGACTCAGCCTCATGCACGCCTAAAATCTCTAAAAGGCAAAGCCTCTGCTGACTAAATGCACATGCACTGTAGTGTTATTAGCCTCCTAGGTTGACTGAGATGTTTCAATAGACAGATTCTGATTCACTAAAGATTAACCAGAAACCTATTTATGGTTCAAGTCCACCGATGGGGTTGCGGGGAGGGAGGAGCAGTTAGCAAGAGGGGTACAGATCATGCGATGGCCTCTCCCATCCAGCAAGGGCACCTGTCTGCAGATTGTCACCGGCCTTTAGGAAATGCCTTAGCTCTGGTTTCCATAATGCACATAATATAAACTAATCTGTATTCTAACATTGAATTTCAGTAGATGCAAGATCACATTTTTTAATCAGAATTTTGGATGTGGTGGCCTGTGACTATAGGATACTGTGCTAAACGCACACAGATCCCAGGGTACGCCTGCAGAGGACACCTTCAAAGTGAAATCCTTGATGCGTGTCACTATCATGTATCACCTTCTCCTAAGAGTGGGGCTCAAAGAGAGCATATATTGATGAAGGAGTGGGAATTTTCTGGTTCTGGTTATCTGGGGTTTAATTATATTCTCAGTGAGAAATAATTCGACATTATAAACTCAAGTGGTCAGATCTCAGCCAAAGGCAATGATGCTTAATTGAAAACTCTTATGACTTATTAATCAAACCACCATAATTTCTGCCTTCATGTAAATATGTATTTCAGAAGCTTGTCCAAAGTAAGATCATATCACAACGACCCACCAATACAGAAGCCACAACAGGCTTACCCTGTTTTACACCACAGATGTCATCCTGAAAAGCAGTACACGTGGAAAGCCGTTCTAGTAAATCTCAGCGCATGTAAAAGGCTCTGGGTGGATGCTACTCTCGAAAGGGGTCCTGCAATAGCCAGACCACAGTATCAACAGAGTCCATTTGCACTTCCAAATCTTTTAATGTTTGCTCTCCTTTAGGAAAAGCACGACTTTAGAGGAAATCTTCTCCAAAAGCAACCTCAGGAGCCACAATGTAGAAGCCCACGAGGGTGAAGCCCTGCCCTTGCAGGACGTGCATCCTGTGAGGGAGGCAGGCAATCAGCAGCTCCGTGCACCTGGTACATGTGATGTAACGAGACGTGTGGGCAGTGTGGCTACATCAGAGTGCAAAAGGAGAAACTAGCACGTGACGCTAGAGATGGTGGGATTAAGAAGTCAGACTACACAGCGTCTTGCAGGCCGCACATAAGGGATGCCGATGTGCCTATGGTCCAGATACCCCTTCGGGACCAAGATGCTCTGCCCCAGCTGCTGGGAACGGAGCTGATCAGTCTCACAGCTCAGCCCTTCTCCATGAGCCGCATGACCCAGGAAACCACCTTGCAGAAGCTCACGCCCCTGCTGGGGCACCTCCGGGGGCTGACTGACAAAGGCAATGCGGCACATCTGCCGGGACACCCGGCTCTGGGCCCAGTCCAGGGTCAGCTGAGCCCTCTCCTGTGACTTCTTCATGGCTCACCCTCTCGCTCTAGCCAGTGCTGCTTCTCCCACCCCTCACAGCGGTGTCCCCTAGGCCCTTCTCAGTCAGCCACTGCAAGCCCATCTCAGACTGAGGCTGCATCCTGGGGAGCTCAACCTGCAACTTTGGTCCATTAGTTTTTTAACCTTCAGTGAAATGCAAAGTATGTAGGGGTTGAAGCAGAGGGCAGCATAATCTGACATGATACAGAAAGACCCCAGCTGCTTGCAGGAAGCATCACGGGATGAGCAGATGACCCAGAAACGGGCGAGAAAGTCCTCGCACGGCAGACACAGGGCTGACAGGCCTTAGAGTGGGCTAGGTGTGGGGCGGTCTCACGAGGTAGGGCGGCTCCACCCTCCCGAATTCATGTCTCCAGAAAGGCCTTATAAATGCGGCAACTCCTGTGACCCCAAGTTTTCAAAATAGCTATTGCCAGCCCTGAACATAAAAGTCGAAGTATAACAGGACCCCAAAATGTAGTCTAAAAGCTGAAGAAATATTTAAAACATGCATTAGAGACACAAACTCACAACTGTCCCCCAACTGCTCTTCTGCTTTTGCTCCGGCTCCCAGCCGGCGCCGTCTGTCTGTCATTCAGCGGCAAAGACAGGAGACCCGCCCACACCTGCTGGCCTCCCCAGGCACCACAGAGTCCCTCCAACTTCGTCTCCACACGCTTTCTTTTTGAAGTGTGCCTAATACACATATTATGCTACTTTCAGGTATACAACACGATTCCACAGGATCTACACTGCTGAATGATCGTCCCAATAGGTGTGCTACCATCCGTCACCACACAAGATATTCGTGCCACTGACTCCGTTCCCTAGATGGTCTTTCATGCCTGCACCCCCCGGCTCTCCTCGACGACCCCGCCCTGCTCAGGCCTTCACCCTGTTTGCAGGAACCACCCCACCGGACCCCCACTGTAGGTCTCTCCCCAGTTCCCAATTTCCCATCCATGACCCGGCCGGAGGGTCGTCTGCCACAGACAGCCGCTGAGTCTGACCGCAGCCTCCAGAGCGGACCTGCTTTGCCTTGGGCCTTGTCTCCCACCGGATTCTTCTCCTGCCTCAGACCCTGCTGCTGCTGAGCGACGGCAGCCCCCTGCCTGCCCCGTGATGCTGCAAGCTCAGGTGACCCCTGCCTACAACACATGCTGCCCCTCCTACATTAAACTGGTCCACCTCATTCTTGGAGATCCAGTCAGCATATTGTCCCCCAAGTGCACCCGCCTCCAGCCCCAAGAGGGCAGCAGCCACAACCCCACGGCCCTCACAACCCCACCAACAGCACATCTTTGTTTCTACGCCGCCAGGGGCGCCCCGAGGACCCAGACCATTCCTCACTCACCTTTGGGCCAGAAGGTAGCAGAGTACCCAGGACACCACAGGCAGGAAAAAGAAGCTGGACTCGACTTGTATCGTGGCGGAGGCTGGGACCAGCGAAGCCTACGGGCAAATATAGGAGAACACCAACTGGGGCAAAGCAAATGCCAAAATATGCCCAGCTACAAATATTTGGGATATCTACTTTCACAGTATTCCTTACCCCTGTCTAAAGGGTAAATAAGAGAGGGCCACAATGCACCACTAGAGCTGGGGACACCTCCTCCCAGGCCCGGCATAACAAAACCCCAGCTGCGGACGAAAACTGAAAGTCTCTTGGACATTTATTCCTGGACTGTGTACACACACACACACACACACACATGCACCGGTATATACACATACATGTATACACACAGATATGTACACACATCTGTATATGTATATGCACACCTATATATATATATGTACAGCAGAGGTTCTCATAGGAAAAGGTACAGATCTTTTCAGGGTTCATTTCCCTCAAGTGCTTGGGTGCAGTTTCTTCCTATCGTCACTCCCAGCATCAGGACACTTAAAACAGAATCGGTGATGAAGGAGTTCCGCTCAAACCAAAGGGTCCATCCAAAGCGCATTCCAGGGTTACGGAGCCTCACCACTAGTTACAAGCCTTGGCATGGAAGTTACATCGACCGTAGTTAGTTACATGATACTTACGTCAAGAATACAGAGAGAAAGGGGAGGTGGCGGGAGGAGGGAGGAGGAAGCAGAAACAGACACGGCTCTGGCGAGGTGCATGTGTGCCCGTCTGGCCACGCAGTCATGTGGTCTGTGCCTCCCGAAGGGCACGTCCCACAGACCTGCGGGCTCGGACAGACAGGCAGCGGCCGTGGGGGGAGGGCCGCGTACCTGGGGCAGCCAGTAGATACAGCAGAGATACCACAGGAAAAACCCACCAAGGGCAAAAGCGGCCCAGCCCCTGGGCGACCCGGTAGTTTGAGGAAAGCCTTTTTTAAACTCAGTGGAAAAGGCACGCACGCAGCCGCCACCCGGGCCATCACCGAGGTCCCGGCCCTCTGCCGGGCTGGGCCCTCGCAGCCTCCCGGCCAGGCCGATTTCAAGCTTGGGCTGCCCTCTCGTCCCTCTGTGCCCCCTGCCACGGCTGCTCAAACCAGCCAATGTCCATGTCCTGGACACTCAGCTGTCTGCCTTCCAGTTTGCTCTGGCACCAACTTCAAATGGCAGAGCATCTGTGACATGGACCCAAGCACCCAGAAAGTCCACTTCTGGTCATTCTGGGGGACGTGCTACGTTTCCAAACACTACCATGAACCTTCCTATCAAACGCACAGCACAGAGCACGCACGATTCCAACAGAACCAGCCGCCAGGTCGCCTCCTCGGGGCCAGGGCACGTCCCGGTCCAACGCGCAGGCGGCAGGGACATCGTGCTGTCAGTGCTCAGCTGATCTCATTCGCCGCCTCTTCTCTTAGCTCTGCACACAACCTCACTCGCTCCTGTGGCCTTGTGACTAGCTGTGTGCCAGCACTGCCCACCGTCTCCCTCTGCCCCGAATCCCTCTGCCCAAATCCTGCCGCAGACGCCCAGGGACCCAACGGCCATTCAGGTGCAAACCTCTGAAAACGGGCCTCACCGCCCTCTTGCCAAGGCACTTCATCGCCCGCCAGTTTCTGCCGCCTCACACTGGGGGTCATCCTCGACTCCTCTCTCTTCTCCCGGCTCACATATCAACAAAGCCATCCTGCCCAAGAAAAGCCCGCCTCCACCAGACCTCTGTGTGCTTTCTGGAATCGCCGCCTTGCAGGCCCAGCAGGTGAGGCTGCCTCCCGGCCATCACGTGCCCTCAGCAGCGCCCTCCCATCCCTCCCCATCTCCCTCCCAGCCATGCCCCGACCTCCCCGTTTCAGAAGCACTTGTCTGCATTGAACAGGCTCTGTCTCCTTCAACAAGAAAAATAATCACCTTGATGAAGCCACTGTAACTTTTCTGAAGCGAGAGCTTAAGAAAGCAAGTCACATTTCACAACAGCAGCAACTCCCAGGAGAATTCAAGAATGAAACAATGCATTTCATCAAACACCCGAAAAGGAGTCCAAGAAGTCAGTTGAACAGCAGAGCCAGAGAGGACCCGGGTGGAGACTCAAAGAGCAAAGCTGTGGCGGAAGACCACAAAGAGGGTCACAAAGGGTGGGTCCAGGTCACAGCTGGTGCGGCCCACCATGACGGGATGAACCTCTGCCCTGGCACACGCCCGCACCCCTGCTGCTCAACATCGGCCTGTCCACAACCTGACAGGCAGCTAAGGTAGATGTACACAGGACGACGTCCTGAACACGAGACTTTCAGTGCAACTCCAGGTAGAATTTTCTAAGAGTCGTATGTCTAACTTGGAAGAGCAGGGTCACCGCTTCAGCTCGGCTCAGCACTGTCCAGAGGCTCCTTCAGTCAGTGGGTAAATGTTAACAGGCCTTTTCCGTTCCTATCTTTGGGGAGCAGTCACTACTTCTAGGACGGAGCCCATACGTAGGGTTTGATTATAGACTCTCAGGGCACCACCGACCCCCAGAAACCAACGGCGGCTGGCGGGACAGAGGTCAGCACGCTGCTTTCCACAGTAAGTTATTTTTACCCCTGGGTTAAGCTGATTCCTCAATCTCTGCAGACCCCCTCCCCCGCCCCATTCAGCCTACTCGCTTTTTCCTGATGCTGACTGACTCTAAGAAAACAAGAGTTGCATTATGCTTGACTCCCTGGGATGAGATCAGCTTGAGTTTCAAATTCCCTTTCAGGACAACCCCAAGGCCACAGAACCTGTAAAACTCCCTGCTGCTCAACGGCACCACAGGAAGACCTAAGCCAGGCCCAGATGGCACCCCTCAAGTCGCGCCAGGAAAAGGCCCTCCACACACACTGCCATCCTCACCATCCATCCCAGAACGCTGGGCAGGCGCTCCTGCAAACACCCCATCCAGGCAGCTCCTACTGAGGCTACATGACTCCAGCAGTGACCTGCTCCAGCTGGCACCATCTGAGCGCCTGGCCAGACATGCTGACAGGGTGCGCTCGGGGGACCATCACTGACCCGCCCCACCGGGGTCAGCGGGCTGCAAGGACCACTACTGACCCACCCCACCCCACCTGAGACAGTGGGCTGCAGGGACCACTACTGACCCACCCCAGCAGGGTCGGCGGGCTGCAGGGACCACTACTGACCCGCCCCAGCAGGGTCAGCAGGCTGCAGGGACCACTACTGACCCACCCCACCAGGGTCAGCGGGCTGCAGGGACCACTACTGACCCGCCCCAGCCCACCTGAGGCAGCAGGCTCGGGGAACCGTCACCAACCCGCCCCAGCAGGGTCGGCGGGGTCAGGCCTGCCCCAAGATGCCTAGAGATCTCAAAGGCCAGCCTCCCTGCTATGCCAGCTAATAATCTATGTGGAAAAGCAAGAACATTCTTATTCCACTTTCTTTTAAATTTCAAAGAAAAATCTCATTTTTACAGCGTTTAGTGTGGGGACTGCCTGTGTGTAATCAGTGTCCTGAGACGAGGGCAGCTGCAGGAGATCCTGGGGAGGGGAGGCTTATCCACTGTCCCTGAGCCAAATCTGGGCCCCAAGGCCAGGCGGGTAACTTCCCTCAGACAAGAGCCCCCAGGCAGGACTCGGAGCAAGATCCCAGCTCTCCTGGCCCAGCCCCCCGAGCTGAGCCACACAGGAAAACCGATGCCCATGGCTTCCTGCTGGGATGGCACCGCATGACCCTGGGCCGGGAGGTGGAGACTGAGCCTCCCTCACCACCTGCTTCAGGTCTCAGGCACGGGGGCTGATGCCCCTGTCAGCTGCCCAGTAAGTGCTTACTAAATGCCTACTGGGTGCCAGCAGCTCCTGCCCCTTGCACTTCCCCAGGGAGCAGGGTGCTGTGAGCCTGGGACTCTGCCATACTCTGCCTAGAAGGGTGTCAATCCTGTCCTCACGGTGCCACTGGGAAGCAAAGACTCATGTCAGGCCTGCTGCAGTAACTAAATAAAAGGTCTCTCAGACAATTTTGTACATACAATTTTGTGTGTCAAGACCTAGTGTCAACACTTCTTCATAGACAGTATGTTACTCTAGGTCTTCAAGTCCAGCAACGATGCATCATAAGCACCAAAAAGCCAACAGCCACAAGCCTAGGGCACCGCTATGCCCTCCGAAGATGGGGTCTCTTGTTTACAGCAATTAGAGGCTTGAAGAAATTCCAAGGCAACCCATCCTCTTACTCTTGCTTAAGTCTCAGTTCTCCACTTAAGGGAGTTTAAACTGGGTAGAGGTGGTGGTGGTGAAGAGAAATTCATGGGCTGAAATATAATGAGCGATTCCGCTAATGCAGGCTGTTTTCCTCGGGAAACGATGGTCTTGTTAGGAAGCGAGCTGGGTGGCTCACAGATCTGACAGGGCCACATCGCCTTGACTTGAGGAGCAGGTCTGCCTGGGTTCATGTTGCACGATTTCTGCTTCCAGTTCTCCAAGCTTCAGGCCGCTGGGGAGGACCACACGCTGCCCGGGCTCCGGCACTCCCCTCCCCACCTCCCGGGGGCAGCGGGTGCCATTGCACAGCCGGGCACGCAGCACACAGGTCCGAATCTGCATCCGAGAAATGTGGCCGGATAACAGCGGCCCTTCCCCAGCCTTAGCCATGCCTGGGTCTAGACAAACCCCACGCAGAACACAGCAGAAACGGAAAGCGGATCGTGTTTCACACCCAGTATGTCTTCACTGACCCATCTCAGGACGTCAGACTCATGAAGGGGGTCTCATTCTGTCACCAAGGGGCACCTCCACACTCCGGGAGGGCCCATCCCGGCCTGGACACTGGGGTCTGCCCCGGCCTCACTCCGCGCCCCAGGCTTTGTGGTGGAGCTCTCTGGTGTGGGTCCCGCACCTCCAGGCACTCGGGTCTCAGCGACCTGAGCTGCTCCAGAGGCCGGCGAGCAAGGCTGCCCACCAGGCAGCTTCACTTCTCTGCCCGATTCTGCTGGAGTAGGAGATGAGCGTCTGCAGAGCCTGCCACAGCGTCTTACCTGTAACTTGTCTACACTGCCACCTGACAGCACAGGCTCTGCC